GGCCTCAACTTTGGCCCCTCCTGCTGCGCAAGCACGGCGCCAATGCCATATTGGCTGGCATCCGTTGTAACTATAAACGGCTTGTCAGGATCAGGAAGTTTCAAAACTTCATAGTGCGTCAATGCATGCTTCAGATGTCTGAAAGCAGCCTCGCACTTATCTGTCCACTCCCAAGGGGTGTCAAGGCGGGTCAGATCAGTCAAAGGAGCGGCCACTATGCTGTAGTTCTTAACGAAAGTCCTATAGTAGCCTGTCATTCCTAAGAAAGATCTCATCTCAGTCACAGACTGAGGACGTGGCCAATCACGAATGCTGGCCACCTTCGCGTCATCGGGCTTCAACTCTTCCGCGGAGATCTCATGACCCAAGTACAAGATACGGGTGCGGCCAAACTCGCACTTTTCACCATTGATCTTGAACTTGTGCTGTCGCAGGAGACTGAGAACTTTGTCTAAGTGTGCTACGTGCTCCTCGACAGTCTTACTAAAAATAAGTATGTCATCGAGGTAYACGACGACAAACTTATCCAAGTAGTCATGGAATATCCGATTCATAGCGTGTTGAAAGGTGCCAGGAGCATTGCAAAGGCCAAAAGGCATCACCACAAACTCGTATAGACCATACCTGGTCTGAAATGCGGTTTTGTGTTGATCCTCAGGCCGAATTACAATCTGATGGTACCCGGACTTCAGATCTATTTTACTGAAGTACCGACACCCTTGCACTCTATCTAACAGATCATCGATGCAAGGTATGGGCTCTCTGTTCTTCACAGTGATGGCATTGAGGCCCCTATAGTCAATGCACATCCTTAGAGTTCCCTCCTTCTTAGGCACGAATAAAACTGGAGACCCATAAGGAGAGACACTCAGCCGGATCCAGCCCTTCTCTACGAGTTCTTTGAGTTGGCGGCGAAGCTCATCAAGCTCGCCTGGAGACATTCGATAGATCCTACCCCTTGGAATACTAGACCCTGGGATAATCTCTATCGCGTGGACGACCTCCCTCTCAACAACCCCTGTCGGCTCTTCAAATAGATCAGGGTACTTAGCAACTACTCCCTCTATCTCTGGCGGCATTTTCACCGGCTCGCCTGCAGCAGACACATAGACTAAGTACATACCCTCCTCCTGATTTTGCTTATAATAATTATAGAATGCGGCCGCACACATGCACCCATAGGACTCAATCAAACAACTAGCTTTGGACTTATGTAATCGGGCGGTCCCTCCACCTGGCAACGTGTGTTTGACCACTTTTCGGTCCCAGTCAAACTGGGGCTGTGCTATAGAGAGGTAGTACATACCTAGTAACATGTCCATTGGGAGCTCGTCACTCACCAGGAACGAGACACGATGTCTCAAGTCCCCTCCTGCGTACGGGAAAACACACTCTACATCATGGAGGTAGTCATTAACTACCATACGTTGTTTGTTGGCACAGGTCGACTCCACAAGTCAACTCAGGCGTTGCACTTGCCCCTGTAAGCGCAGCCTCTCAACGCACGCGCGGCTCATAAAGTTTCAAGTCGAGCAAGTGTCGTAATAGGCCCCGGCCTTGCGGCCTCCTATGACTACCTCGCTGACAAACATTTCACTCTTAGGGGCTTTAACTAACGCCGTCCAAGAAGCTAGTGGATCTGATCTAGACCACTCATGCTCTAGCTCCTCTAAGGATTCAAACACATTCATCGAACAGAGGGTCGATGGGTCTGAATGTGTTTGCGGGACGACTGAAGAGTCTGTAGCTTGGGTCATCTCTCGCGAAAGTGAGGGTGAATCCACCATCGCGACCCTAATAGGAACAGCTACTATCCCTACTGGCCCGACGTGTTTCCCGGAGCACTGCCTGAAGAACTAGCAACGTTGCTACCAACGGTTTGAGAGGATCCTACTGCCGACCCCATAGAGGGCGGGATCTTCTCGGTGACCTTCCTATTGCGGCACTTGTACATGCTATGACCATATTCGCCACACTTGATACAAGCTTGCCGTGCCCACCGATCTCTCCACACGTCCTCAGCTAGACCCGCTTTCTCCCATGGAGGAGCATTGGGGTCTGTTTGACTCTTCGACCGGGATCCCCTAGGGCGTCTACCGGTCCCTTTACCTTTTTGTTGGGTTACGGCGGTGACTACTCCACCCTCTGAAGTATCGCCACCTGCCTCTGCACCTACTCCCTCCTGGAGGTTGCCGTCCAACTCGATGGTTGAACCATCATTGTCGACAAACATTAAGCGACCCTTTGCCTTCCAGTTGGAAGGCAGTGTCTTCTTTCTCCCTTCCGTAGTGGGTGCGTGTCCATGCCCTATCTTTGCTTCTAGGTCTAGGGCCACCTTGTTGAACGAAGGAAAGTTGTGCATATTAATGTTGGCCTCTTTCGCCAACTGGTTCCTGAGCGGCAGAGATAAGGTCCTCAAGTACGAAGTTAGCAGGACCTGGGGGTCATAGCGTACCCCTGTAACACAAATCAAACGCTCTACAGCGTTGGTGGCATCCCTTACTGACTTAAACTGCCGAGTGTGCAGTGTCAGGATCGCATCAGTGGCCTTTTGAGCCTCCTGCGGATCATGCCAMCTGTCTTCCACCATTTTCAGGAAGTCCTCCAATTCTTGAGAGGCTGCCCAAGAGCRGAAGTCATGACCGTACCCCTGGAGTTGCACTAACCCACTCAAACATCTCGTTGCACTACCCTCCAGGTAGGAAGCAGCCACAAGCACTTCTTCGTGYGGCAAGGTGAGTTTACACCTGACATAGACCGGCACTGCCCTCAACCATGTGTCGAGATCTTCGCCTCTCTTGTCCCCTGTAAAGGGTTTGGGAGCGGCGATGGCCGTCTTTGGAACCCACTGACTTTGTCCTGGTCAGCGCCAACCCGGGCTGTGGACCCGGCGATACAGGTTGTTGTGCTAGCTGCTGGGGCTGTGTGCCCTGAGGTTGCACTGACTATGAGACAGCAGGCTGCGTGGTGACTGCAACCTGTGACGGACTTGGAGTAAACACTGTCTGAACAGGAACCTGCAAACTACTCCCTGCTGTTACCCCTCCTGACAGAGGCATGCCCAGGGAAACGATAGCAACCGATGAAGGGGCTACATATGGGGATACCCCAGTCACCGGTGGAACAGAAAGCGGAGGATATGGCACGGGCCAGGCACCAGGCCCTGCTGGTGATGGTGCTGCCTGAGCACGGCCTGCCAACACGGCTAGGCTTTGTTGAATGTCCTGAAGGAGGGTAGTTTGATGCTCCTGCATCTCAATTACGCCTAGCAAGGCCCTCCTGACTACCTTCACATCATCATCCATATGCAACAGGTCCATCGTCTCTAACTCCTCTATGTCGGCCCCTCTCTGTTGCATCCTGGCTCTTCTTCTAATCATCATCTCTTTCTCCCTTTTTATCTTTCCTAATGCCTGCTGTAGTTGTGCCTTTTGCAGGGCTGCCTGCTGGATGGCGACATCCTCTGGGGACAACACCGCGGGTTGGCTTGCCATTAAGCCAGTGGACTGACTCACGGTCTGCACGACCGTGGACCCGGCGGTACCTGAACTTCCGGCTTGGGAAGTCTGTTGCGCAGACGTGCTCATGGTTGTGGTAGCGATGGCTGCTATAGCACTGACCTCGCTAGCAAATGCCCTGCTGGCCTCGGCTGCTCTAGCTCTCCTTTCCCTTTGTCGGCGGAACAGTTCCCTATCACCCTCGGTCCTAAAGACACATGGGATACTGGTCCTCTAGCTGATCGTAAGGTCATGCGGTCGTCCTCTCCGGTGTCCTCCACGTCGCTCATAGGCTACAGCACTGTGCACTGTCCACACTAGATCATTCTAGATGCCTACCGCAGCATA